AGAATTAGCAGCAAAAAACAACCAGAATGTCATGTAGAAACAGAAGGAATTTCATTTATTCACATTTATTTTTATACATGACATATTTTAGCCTCTCCATGTTCCTCAGGAATTATTACTATATGCTAAGATATAAATTTAAAAAAGTGATCACCAATGATTTAATTACATGTCTATTAAATGGCTTGATGACAGATATAAAGTAGGAAGGCACAACAACTGAGTCTGCTGTAGACAGGATTTAAAACAAATGTAGTGATTATGCCTGTTTGATAATGATGCACCTTCTACCAGAAGCAAATTAGTGTCTCTTAGCATAAAGGTTAGAGCAGATTCGGGTTGCACAAAAGTTTATCACACATAATTAACAGTTTCAGGGCATGATGCAGTCATCCTAACTGCTGCAACAGCACCTTGCTTTCATTTGTCATTGCTTATTTGGTTGTCAGATCAGAGCAAAAATGTAGGGGGGAAAAAACAGGCAATTTTCAGCATGTTGGACAGTTTGGACAAGTTATTTGTTCAGATAAGCTGGACAGTTTTCCCAAGGATGGTGCTGTGCAATCACTTCTCATGTCTCATCTGTCTGAGGGAAGTTATCCCAGAAGATCCATTGTTCATCCAGATTAAATTTGCAAGCCTACATGAAAAGATAAAAGGATTTCCTAGGAACCTTTCCAAACAATTCATAGTTTTTCAGGCATTGAGGACTTCATCATTTAACATCCTTTGGCAGTCCTGTGGACACTGAGATGAAGCTCTGAGGGTTTTAATCTGTTTTCCAAATACTGCAGGGTCTGATCTTAGGGGGATACTCACTTCAGGATTGCTGATTACTGTAAAAAAAAAAAAAAAAAAAAAAGGATCTTAAACTGTTTGGATTATTCTTTATTAACCTTTGTAATATCAAATTGTCAGTTGGCTACACCAATATCATCAAAATAGACTTTATAACCGTTGTAATGGTGGTTATGATTCACACAAAGTTGAGGAATTGCCTGGGTGTGGCAAAGGCTTCAAAACGTATTCTGTTTCCGAACGCTACGTGGCAAGAATGAGCTGGACTACTGAACTGTATTTTGCTGCTATATTGCTGCTGTTTTGTATGTGTAAATGCAGGGTTTACTTTGCAAGTCTTGTGTATAATAGTTATTTATTCCTCTAGATTTTTATTACATACACCTAATTATATAAATTCTTAATTTGTGCTACTGTGTGTATTCTCATAAAGATTTTTCCTCATGTAGCCTGGGGGATATGTAGTGAGTTGACTTTTCAATGGAACTCTCCCAGTTCTCCAAAATATGACTTTCTTCCAGTTTCTTTCAGACTTCAAATAAATTCAATTCAGTTTATTTAGACAGTGCTAATTCACAACACGTCATCTCAATGGGAGCCCCAAGCCAGCTCCCATGTCAGAGGATGAAGACAACACATCCAGCCAGTCACAGTCAGAGAAACAGGACTACACTGAAAAACAGGCCAATCTCCAGCATCTATAAACAAATGTGTTGATGGCAGCAGCACAGCTGATATTTCTCTCCAGGATGGAGTCACAGCCAAACAGGAACAGACCAGATGAAGCTACTATGAGAAAAAGCAGAGAGAGCATAATGTTAGAGATTATGCACGCTTAGCTGTAATAAACCAGAAGAAGAGGCTGCAAGCTAGCACACACCACAGATCAGTAATGGACTGAGTTTTTAGTGAATGTGCTAAAGAATGGCAAGTTGTACTAACCTAGTGATGATACATATAATCCAGAGACATAGTGAGAGAAGTGTGACTCAAATGGGATTGCTAAAAACAGCTGATCAGTTGTGTGACGAAAATATTTGTTAAGTAAGAACTTATAAGAAAAATTTGTTTATCTCAATCGGCAGAATTCTGATCCTTAGGGCTTTTTAAGATAGTTTAGCCTCGGAAAGTAATTAGGAATGGGTTTGCAAAATATATATCTTTTTTTATTTCTGTAAATAAAGCCCTCAAAAACCAATAGCGGAGGGTATCTGTCAGTGTCGGTCAATTCTTATATTTGCATTAAATTTATATGTAAAATGCAAATAAGCATATTTAGTTTTATAAAGTTGCAGTTTTCTGCTCTCCTACTCTTGGCGTGTTTAAAATGTGTTTTATGTTATTAGTGAGCATGTAGCCATCTGAATTATGCATCTGCACTCTGGCCCCTTTACAGGAGCATTCACCATAATGTTCAAGACCAGGCAGACACAGTGTGTTGCCCGGTGTGTGCTTAAATATAAATGAGCACTGAAGTGGCTTTCCTTGTAAGTTCATCAACTACTGAAAAAGATTGCTGCAGCATTCTACATGTTCGGGCTTTTCAGGTGTTCACCTGGAATTGCAAGCCAAGCGATCCTAGAAAAACAGTCTATAGGGTTTAAGAAAAGCTAGAATGTGTTCCATATGCAGCTCTGTCTCTTACGATGATTGTCTTAATTTTCGTTTTTTTTTTTTTTTAGGTAACAAAACCAAATGGCAAATGAAAAAAGGCCTTTAGTTAACATTTACTGCAATGAGATTTAGGTAAAAATACACCCTGAAGTGCTGATTGGTTAGTCTGATAATGAGCATGCTTATGAGTGATTATTGGGGGCTATGTTGTTATTTGTTTCTGTTCAAAAAGTTGTTAATGTAAAGATTAGCTATATGAACAAATACACATAATAGACTGGGTAAAACAACTTAAAAAACTTATACATTATAAAACATCAAAAATCTGCTCTTAGCAACTCGATGCTTTATGGTAATTAGCTGATTTAATGTTAAAAAAATTCAAGTTGAAAAAAAAAATGTGATTACCTCGT